TGAACCAACTATTTTGGTATTTCAAAATGACTGGCCTTATAAAAGCTTCAACTATAATCTACATTGTTGTTTCCAGTTTGCTGTGGACTTGAATTATAAGCCCACCTGTCCAAAGGTGGTCTACAGAGCAACCGGAGAGCACAGAGTCTTTCTCAAAATCATTTTGGATCAAGCGGATCAGAAACATGTGTATTTGCAGTTTAAAAACAAGGTATGAGAATTTTTTTTTCACATTTTCACGAAAAATTGTTTGTTTTTTTACTTTTTTTTTTGGTCTTTTTTCCAGATTAGTCGTGTTCCGGTCTCTAACTGCAGCATTCACAGAGATGTGAATGAATGTCTGTCTGCACAGGATCCCCACTGTGTGTGGTGCGTCTCTGAAGGCAGGTCAGAAACTTACTTTATTGATGAAACCTTCTAACAAAGGTGAACTTTGTGATGACACCCATTTATTATTTTTTAGCTGCACATTTGAAAATCACTGCAGAGATTCAGAGTGGTTGTCCATACCTAATGACACTCAGAAGAAAATCGTTTCCCACCAGCTTGTGAGGGACTCCAGTGGAAATGTTGGTTTATTAACTGCATTCATTTAGAACTATTTGTTGTTCTTTTAGATTATTTTCATATTTTTTACTCTTTTCTTTTATAGATCAAACTAGTGATTCAGACACACCTGGAAAAGCACCTGAAAGTTCCTTCTAACTTCACCTGTGAATTCTCCACTAATTCCAGTCAGCTTTGTGGCCAAAATGGCCTTTCAGCACAGTTCCCTCAATGCACCTGCATCCTTCCAACTCTTCCTAATAATGGTAATAAAATGACCTCATATTAATAATCTGAACAGTTCTGAACATATGAAGGTTGCTTAAAAATCTGCCAATCCTTCTTAGGGTCTGAACCCTTAAGACCAACAATATTACCTGCCTATAATAAACATCCAGTGTTTCTGATTAATTTGGTCTGGATGTATAAAGACTCAACATTTATATATTCAGCCTTATTTGTGGATGAACATTTTATCAGTTTAAAGCCGGAGATCTCTATTCCATTAAAATTATTTTATACTTATTACAAACTTTAAAAATTGTATTCTGTGGAAATACGAAGGCTGCCAGTTTCTAAAGAAAATTTATTGGTTTCACGGAAGGATCTCGTATTATATTCTTTACTAAATAGTATATCATCCCTTTCATAGGGTAAGTTTTACAATATATTTTTATTTTTCAGATCTTGATGTCACCATAAAGATCAGCCTTGGGAACTCTAAGCTGACAGAGCAAAGAAAGATAACCAATTGTTCAAGTATTAATGGACAACCACATTTTTTTTCGTAAGTTTATTTACAGTTGAAAAATGAAATGTTTTTGTGTGTGTATATTTTATATCTATAACTTTGGTGTGAAGTTTACATGTTTTCCTGTTGTTTCTGGAAAGTTTTCCTGCTTCTGGAAAGAGAACATTTTTCCAGAAGCAGGATTGTCAAGGTTTTTGGTTACTAACTTTCTTTTAGGCTGAATGTCTCTATATGTGCGGGTCTATATTTGTGGGTCTAAATGTGCGGGTCTATATGCGCGGGTCTATATACGCGGGTCTATATGCACGGGTCTATATGCACAGGTCTATATGCACGGGTCTATATTTGTGGGTCTATATGTGCGGGTCTATATGTGCGGGTCTATATGCGCGGGTCTATATGCGCGGGTCTATATGTATGGGTCTATATGTGCGGGTCTATATGTATGGGTCTATGTATGGGTCTACATGTGCGGGTCTATATGTGCGGGTCTATATGCGAGGTCTATATGCGCGGTCTATATGTGCGGGTCTATATGTCCGGGTCTATATGTGCGGGTCTATATGTGCGAGTCTATATGCGCGGGTCTATATACACGGGTCTATATTGGTGGGTCTATTTTTGTGGGTCTATATGTGCGGGTCTATATGTGCGGATCTATATGCGCGGGTCTATATGTATGGGTCTATATGTGCGGGTCTATATGTATGGGTCTATATGAATGGGTCTATATGTGCGGGTCTATATTTCTGGGTCTATATGTGCAGGTCTATATGTGTTGGTCTATATGCACGGGTCTATATGCGCGGTCTATATGTGTGGGTCTATATGCGCGGGTCTATATGCGCGGGTCTATATGTATGGGTCTATATGTGCTGGTCTATATGTATGGGTCTATATGTACGGGTCTATATGTGCGGGTCTATATGCACGGTCTATATGCGCGGTCTATATGTGCGGGTCTATATGCGCGGGTCTATATGCGCGGGTCTATATGCGCGGATCTATATGTATGGGTCTATATGTGCTGGTCTATATGTATGGGTCTATATGTACGGGTCTATATGTGCGGGTCTATATGTGCGGGTCTATATGCGCGGTCTATATGTGCGGGTCTATATGTGCGGGTCTATATTCGTGGGTCTATATGTGCGGGTCTATGTGTGCGGGTCTATATGTGCGGGTCTATATTTCTGGGTCTATATGTGCAGGTCTATATGTGCGGGTCAGATTGGAGAAAAACATTAGGAGAAGTTTTGGTTAAAATATGAAATAATACACCTGTTGTTTAATCAGGGATAAAATCTCTCCTGAAAGGGACTTGTTGTGCCTCGCTGTCATTAAAATGTTCCATTTTAGAAACATTGCAACTGATAATTAAATCATTGCTGAAGTTTGTGTTGTTTTTGTCTTCAGGTGCCGTCAGTGTATGAAAGCTGGATGTCAGTGGAGAGATAACAGCTGTTCCTGGTCCAGTAAACTTGCTCAGGATGTAATCATCAATTTGTCTGTTTTTGTTGAGTATTGAGTTCATCTTGTTTACTGCAATGGCCACCAGAATATGTCTTATTTAAATATCTAGTAAAATGCCTTAAACAACATGAAAGATTACTAGAATAAAAAGTTTTGTAGTTTCAGTTTATTGATTTAAAAATCTTTTTTTACAGGAACATGTTTGCATGAAGATGGAGGCTGTGATGAACATTTCTGTAAGTCTGAACCTTTTTCACACACTGTTCTTGACCAAAACCAGGATCCAAAACAATTCAGTTTTAGGGTTTTAGGCCCCTGCTTTAATTATATTCATTATGGAAACACTAATGAGAAAATAATCCAATATAAACATCCTTTGTGTTTTCCTGTCAGGTACCAGACATCACCTCCATTACACCTCATGTTGTGTCTCTGTATGGGAAAAACCATGCTGTACTGTCAGGGCATCACCTCAGCAATGTGATTGGAGTGAGAATCCAGACAGACTTTAACTGTCATTCACAGGAGTAAGTCACTCTACAGAAAATTAAAGCCATTTATGGCATCATAGTGCAATAATGCATTTATATAACTTCATATTTACTAATATACCTTTTTCTGCATGATTTTTCGCTTTATTTATGGCTCAATAACTACCTATAGAAAAGATCTGATTGGAAAATTCCGTAAAAATTCAAAAAATATCCACTGGACTTGGTTTTCAAGATTTGAAGACG